CACTTGAGGCCAGGAGTTCAAGACCAGCCTGAGCAAGAGCGAGACCCTGTCTGTATTAAAAATAGAAAAAATTAGCCAGACGTGGTGGCACGTGCCTGTGGTCCCAGTTACTTGGGAGGCTGAGGCAGGAGGATCACTTGAGCCCAGGAGTTTGAGGTTGTTGTGAGCTAGGCTAACACCTCAGCACTCTAGCCCAGGCAACAGAGCGAGACTCTTTTTCAAAAAAAAAAAAAAAAAAAAAGAACCAAGTTGTAGGACTCACACTTCCTGATTTCAAAACATATTACGAAGTTACAGTAATCAAAACAGTGTGATACTGGCTTAAAGACAGAAATAAACCTTTGTGTGTATGGTTAAATGATCTTTGACAAGGGTGCTAAGACCACTTGATGGGGAAAGGGCAGTCTCTTCAACAAATGGTGTTAGGAAAACTGTATATCCACATGCAAAAGAATAAAGTTGGACTCTTACCTTTCACCATGTACAAAAATTAACTCAGATTAAAGACCTAAACATAAAACCCCAAACTATAAATCTCCTAAAAGAAAACATAGGAAAGCATCATGACATTAGACTTGGTAATGATTTCTTGGACATGACCCCAAAAGCCCAGGCAACAAAAGAAAAAACAAGCTGGGCACAGTGCCTCATGCCTATAATCCTAGTACTTTGAGAGGCCAAGGAGGCAGGATCACTTAAGGCCAGGAGTTTGAGATCAGCCTGGCCAACATAGAAAGACCCCATCTCTACAACAAATAAAAAAATTAGCCAGGTATACTGGCGCATGCCTGTAGTTCCAGCTACTCAGCAGGCTGAGGCAGGAGAATCATTTGAGCCTGGGAGTTGGAGGTTGCAGTGAGCTACGATGACGCCAGTGCACTCTAGCCTGGGCAACAGAGCAGAACACTGTCTCACAGACACACACACAAAAAAGACAAAAAGAGAATAAACAAATGGGAGTACATCAAACTTTAAAACTTTTGTACATGAAAAAACACCATCAACAGAGTAAAAGGCAACCTACAGAATGGGAGAAAATATTTGCAAATGATATAGCCGATGGAGGTTAATATCCAGAATATATAAAGAACTTCCATGACTCAACACCAAAATATCAAATGAACTGATTCAAAAATGGGCAACTGATGTGAGTAGACATTTCTCCAAAGATGACATACAAATGGTCAACAAGCATATGAAAAGATGCTCAACGTCACTAATTGTCAGAGAAATATGAATCAAAACCACAATGAGATACCACCTCACACCCATTAGGATGGCTATCATAAAAAAAAAAAATCAGACAGAAAATATAATGGCAAGCATTGGCAAAGATGTAGAGAAGTTGGAACCCTTGTGCACTGGTGGTGGGAATGTAAAATGGCACAAGTGCTAATTAAAAACAGAACTACTGTATGATCCTACGATCCAGCAATCTTACTTCTTGGTATATAGTCAAAAGAATTGAAAACAGAGTCTTAAAGAGATATTTGCACGCGTCCACAGCAGCAGTAGTATTCACAATAGCCGAGAGGTGGAAGCAACTCGAATGTTCACAGGTGGATGAATGGATAAACAATATGTGGTACACACACACACACACACACACACACACACACACACACGCAATGGAATATTATTCAGCCCTAACAAGGAAGGAAGTACTGTCACATGCTACAACACGGATGAACCTTGAGGACATTATGCTTTGTGAAATAAGCCAACTGCAAAAAAAGATAAACACTGTATGATTCCACATATATGAGGTTTCTAACGTCATCAAATTCATAGAAACAGAAAGTAGAATGGTGGTTACCAGAGTCTCGGGGAAGCGGGGGATTGTGGAGTTCCTTAAAGGGTACAGTTCCAAATTTACAAGCTGAAAAAGTTCCAGAGATCTGTTTCACAACAATGTGAATATACTTAATACTACTGAAATGTATACTTAAAAATAGTTAATACAGTAAATTGTGTATTATGTATTTTTTACAAGAAGAAGGAGGAGGAGGAAGAGGAGAAGGGGGGAAAGGCAAGAAAAATTCTTCCCTACGTGGCCCCACTGATACCTTAGCTGTGACCCAGTTAAACTGATTTCAGACTTGTGGCCTCCAGAACTGTGAGAAAATAAATGTCTGTTAAGTTACTGCGTTTTTGGTAATTTGTCATAGCAGCCACAGGAAACGAACACAGGACAGCGAATAAAAATGACTAACTCCAATGCCAGGTAAATTGGTGCTCAGCGCTCTGAAGTTAAAAAGCCAGGGGAGGAGACAGCGACCTAGAATATTAAGTTGCTTGGGATGGTCAAGGGACCTGACTTCAGGTCAAAGGCCCTGCGGTGACCACATGCTTGAGGAGTTAGAACAGCAGAGGGCTGCTCTTTTGTGGTTTTAGCAAAAGTGAGGAAGGAGAGAAGAAATAAGGGCAAAGAAGCAGCCAGGGGCTGGATCCCATAAGGGCCAAAGTAAGAAGATGGGAGTTAGAAAGCCGAGGAATGTCACACTTTAACCCACGTGCTCAGAGGCTCGGCAGGTTGATGGCGGTGGGGGTGGGGGGACTGACTTAGGAGGCTGTTGCTCCAAACGCCCAGCTAGATGAGGCAGGGAGGAAGGAGAGGGCAGGAGAGGGATCAGTTCTGCCTGCAAGTCTGGCCTGAATTACTGGATGATGGGGGTGTCATTTACTGCGATGAGAAACCCAGGGAAGAGCTGACCCAAGCACAAATTAAGAGCTCTGACCTGAATGTGCTGAGCGTGAGGTGCCTGTTTGCCAACCAAGTGAAGATGCCAAACAGACATTTGGGTCTTTGTGTCTGCAGTTCAAAGAGAGGTCAGAAGAGTCACCGCGCCACATGTCACCCAGAGTGGGCAAGGAGGGGGCAGACTGGGTCTGACAGCAGGGATCCCGTGATGCCAGCTCTCTTTGAGTCCCTGGGGTAGGACAGCCCCAGCTCTGGCCCCTGCCCTCAGCCACAGTCTTGGGCTCATCCTGTGGCAGCGTCCCCAAGGAGCCTCTTGCTGTGTCACCAGCTCGTGTTCACCCCAGCACCAATTTGGCAAGTTTGGACCAATCCTAATCGCTGACCTGGAGTAAGTGCGCTGTTTCCGTGGGGCTCTCAACCCTTCGTCTAGAAAACTTTTATCATGAACCTCAGCAGTAAAATATCTTTGAGCAAACATCAAACACACATTTGCCACTCGGATGGCAAATGGGCACCTCACACTCAATACATCCAAGCCAGAGCTCTTAATTTGCACCCAAATTAAGATTTGTGTCCAAAAACACACATGTACACAGCCACTGATAAATTTTTTTCACTTTTTTCTTTTTATTTCTTTCTCCCACATTCAGAGATCATGAAGAATCATTTATAAATTATATATTTGGCTAAACAAATAATAAAATACATTCATCACAAACATATGCAAAAGCAGAGTTTAAGAAGGAGGTGTTAAAGATGAAATAAACAATATTCGAATGATTTTATTTATTAAAAGTACAAAAATCCTTTTTGCTTTCAGTAAGAAAAAGACAATATCTTGTCTGAGCAACGTGACTGAATATGTCAGATGTGATGTTTCACCTGGAGCTGGGGCTGACAAGGAGCTCCCACCACGGGTGGAAGCGCCGGCTCCGTCTTTTCGCTCATCTTGCAGTATTAGCATCACCTTTGATCTGCGTTTTCTTCGTAGGAATTTTTTTCAGCCATGAGTCCATTCTGTGACGGTTCCTTTTGTTAAAACTGGATAACCTCACTCAGCTAACCTGGTGCAGGCGCCCAGAGCCCCAGGCCACTCTGTGGCCTTCTCCACCCTGCACCGAGGCATAGCACCAACACTGCCTTGCCCTCTGCACCCACGTGGGTTTGGCTAACGGGGGCAGTGGGAGAACAGGAAGGGCAGGAGAGTAAGATGGGAATAGTTGTCCCAGTGCCTCTTCCCCCTGGGACCCCAAAAGTTGGCTGCACCCCTCTTGTACAGCTCCTGTAAGGCAGGCCTCTCCTAACCCCTTCACCCCGGGCTGGTAACTGCACTGGTACTAGCTTCTTTCTTGTTAGAAATACAAATTCTAATATTTTCTTCCCTCCCCACGGGTGAGTGCCCCCCACTTTGCAGGCCACTGGCCCAGAGCCGCGGCTAGAGCTGTCTACACAAACGCGATGGCTGCAGTCTGGGCTGGCACTGCCTCTTGTTCTTTGGGTGAACTTGGCGTGTGGCTCAACTCGGCTCACAGTTTCCTGGGCAGTGAGATGAAGTGGGAGTGCGGGTCTAGGGGAGATAAGGTTGCTCCCTGCGCAGGTCCAACATTCTAGAATCCTCCACTTCTAGGCAGGAATTATCCCTTCCAGTGCTGGAGCAGACGGCCCTGCTCTCTTTGGACCCTGGCCCATCGGGCGCCGCCTGGCAGACGTTCGCTCTCCTCCCACGTCCTGCTCATTCGCGCCCTGCCCCTGCGAGGGCCTGAGACGTGGGTCATCGCCTTGGCAGCCCTGGCCTGGCCTCCCTGCAGGCCTCGGGGAGAGCGACGAGACCCAGCCGGCGCCCCTCCCCAAGGCGACCACCAGCGTCCGGAGGCTCCGCAGGGCCCCCTCCAGTCCGGGTTCTTGGAACCAGCTGGCTTGGGTCCGAGGGACTCGCGCGGGTAAACAGAGGCCCCTTCTCTGGACGTCTGCACGCCCCTGGGCTGCCCCAGCGGAGCGCGCAGCCAACCAGGCTGCCCAGCCCCGCCGAGCGTCTTAGCTCGGGGAAAGATGAATGAGAGGGGCAGAGGAGGGGAGGGGAGGCACGGGGAGGAGAGGGGCGGGGCCGCGCAGGGCAGTTCCCGCCGCCCGCTGCCCGCGCCCCGCCCCCTGCCGCAGCTCGCAAGCCCCGCCCCGGCCCGCC